TTCCTCCTTCTCCAGATGAGAAAATTGAGGCCCAGAGAGGTTAAGCTATGTACTCAAGGTCACACAGTTGGTAGAACCTGGATTTGAATTCAGATCTGTCCAACTTCAGCTCATCTTCCTTCCCCACTGGGTGGACTGGGCTGCCTCTGGAGTGGGTGACAGCCCCCACTGCCAGGGGATCTGCACTGGGGACCGGATTGTTTATTGCACACCTGTTATGCGCCAGGCACTGGGGATAAAACATGGAATGAGACAGAAAGACTGTGTCTCAGTGGCAGAGGAAGGAAGGGGTGGAAGCTCAATGACAGCTATCTACTGAGGCATCCTTTGAAGCCTGCTGTGTGACCTTGGGAAAATACATTAACCTCTCTGGGCCTCCATTTCTTCTGGCACCAAGCAGTGCTCCCAATACCCACTTCATGGGGTTCTGGGAGGAGTCTCTGATAATGCATGTCCTTGGCATAGAATTTCCATAAAGGTGGCTCCCCTACCCCACCTCCTCTGCTGGGGCCAGAGGGAAGTCAGACAGGGTCTTGTGGGTCTGAGGAGGCCAGAGGAATGGGCAGGCTTAGGCTATCAGGGCCTTGAGTCCGGGCTGAGGAGCTGCAGCCATGCAGGGGATAAACAGGAGGGAGCGAACGGAGACTGAGAGTATAGGGACGAGGCTGGGTTGAGGGTCCAGGGAGCAAGGAGGAGGCCTGAGCTGGACTCGGCAGTGAGGACAGAGAGGGAGGCCAGGGTCTGGCAGACCCTGGGAGTGGGAGGCAGGAGGGTGGACAGCGTTGGGCCATTCTCAGAGTCCCATGTCCTGGGGTCTCCTGAGCAGGGAGGCCAGGCACCTTCTCAGAAGCTGAGTAGGTGCTCTGCCAATTGCTGGTCCCGTGGGCCTGGTCCTCCTGCTGTAAGCCTCTGATTCAGCTCAATTGTCACCTTCATTCCTCTGTTCCAATCGAGTGACAGTGGTATGCCATGCCCTGGACGTGGTGTGGGAACAAAACGGGCTTGTGACCCAGAGGGAGGAAAGGTCACCCTGGGCCAGATTTGATTGACAAGGCTGGGAGAGAAGGCACACAGCACCTGTTTTTAGGACACGCCTCACGATTCAGCCAAGCAGGAGTCTGGGCAGGGGCGTCCCTGGCCTCAGTGTGCAAGCACAGAGACAGGCAGGGGAACGGCATCCCTGGCAGGAGGAACAGCAGGTGCAACGGCCCGGAGGTGGGAACAGTACTCAGCACATTGAGGGCCTTTAGCTGGAGTGTGGGGTCCATGGGGAAGGAGGGACTGGGACAGAAGCTGTCTATAGGACTGAGGTTCCAATCCCAGCTTGGCTTGGTACTTGCCGTGTGGCCTTCGCCAAATCACTTCCCCTCCCTGAACCCCCATTTTCTCACCTGTCGCATCATCCCAATACAAGGAGATTTAGGTTCTTCTCCCATTCATGCCTCGTACTTAGTGAATACTGATGCTCAGTTATTTCTTGAGCAGCTGGTAGTTCTGGGCTCCAAGGGTGCAATGGTTTTGGACTCTGCTGGCCTGGAAGGAAGCCAGGCTTTGGGAGTCTCTAAAGGCCCCACAGGGGATTCTAAAGTGCCCGGGCTGAGAACCGCGGAGGCAGGTGGAAGACATAACCAGGGCTCTTTGGCTTTCCTTCACTTGTTCCTGCTAAAGCCTTCATGCATTCGCACATTCATTCATTCACATCTTCACTCAGTTAGTCAAATACTGATTGAGCACAGCCGATGCCCCACCACTGTGGATCGCACCCTGGCCTCCTGGGGTGTGGCTCTGACCGATCTGGAGATGGTAACTGCTCATTTAAGCATTCAGTGAATATCCAGGGACTCCTGAGGAGCGCAGGATCTTTTCCTCTTTGGAGTCTCCATTTTCCTCTCCTATAACCTGGAGAGGAAAATTTTCCCTGAAGAGCAGTCCCGAGGTCAAAGACTAAAATAACTCCCATGGTGAACCAAAGCTTCAGTGTCTTCAGCATTTATTAGGAGCGAGGCACTTCACATTTTTATTCCTTTTAAATTAAGCTCTGAGGTAGAGATTACCGTTATCCTCATGTAACAGATGAGGAAACTGAGGCTCAAAGAAATGTGAACTGTTGCTGGAGGCACAGAGTCAAGGCCTAGGCACTTAGCTGCTAATCTGCCTGGTAACTGATGACCTCACAGCTCCCACCCATTTGGCTAAATCTGCCCAGCAACCGGTGACATCACTAAGACTACGGCTCAGGCTCAACCAATGGGGTACCTGATAACATAACTGATCAATACAGTAATTATGATGTGATGAGGGCCTACTGAGTGCCAAACGCTGCGCTGAGCAGCCCCTCCTCTGGGTTCACACAGTGTCCAGTGTTGCCTTTATTACTGTGCATAATATTTTAGCCCAGATGTATTGATTGCAGACCATGAGCCAATCATTTTTACGGCTATTGGCACATTAAACCCTCCCACTATTTCTATTGTTAAAAATTAGCAAACACTTATATACTGTTTACTCCATGCCAGACACAGTTCTAAACACTTATTTCATGCTCACAACAACACTGTGAGGTAATGATTATTATTATTTTCATTTTATGGCTGAAGAAACTGAGGCACAGAGAGGTTGAATGACTTGCCCAGTTGGTGGGGCATAGACTTCAAACCCACATATTCTGGCTCCAGTGTTTATGCCGTTAACCAAAACACCGTGCTACTTCTCTTATCCCAATGTTACCGGTGAGGAAACTGAGGCACAGAATGATTTAAGCACCTGGCCTCAGCTGGGCTAGAAGGTACCAAAGCCAGACTCTGAGCATGTGCCGTCCAGGTCCACAGCTGCTCTCTTCCCGCCTGAACCGCTGTGGTTATTCAGAAGCAGGGCCTGCAAAGCCCCACCCCCAGCTCCCTCCCTTTTTCCCTGGGGAACAGCCCCGCCCCCAGCCAGGGATAAAGGGGACTTCACCAGCAGACCATAGACCATGAGCATTGCCAGCTTCCTGAGCAGTCCCCTTGGGACGCTGCCCTTTGGGAGCCCTGGCTGTTGGGCTGAGTTTCACCAGGGCCCCCCAGAGCCCTCCTGTGACCCAGGCAGGGGACACAGATCTCTATGTAGCTTTTGTCCTTCTGCTCCAGCCTGACCCTGATGCCAGGCCTTGGAGAGACTCCCCATCCCACAAGTCCCCCAATCTGGCGGAGGGAGGCCTTCGGGAAAGACCCTGGGAGCTTGCTGGGCACATGGCAGCCCTCAGTGGGTCTCAGTTCCTCATCTGTCCGCTGGGCAGTCAGGAAAGGCCTTTGCAAGCCGGCTGGGTTTTCCACCTCATTGGACCTCTCCTCCTTTTTATTAAAAACAGCTGTTTTTGTGGGAAGAGTATGTTTTTCCTTTAATGCTTTACTCATTCATTTAGTAAATGTTTTTGTTGTTGTTCATTCTCACCTGAGGATATTTTTTCCATTGATTTTTAGAAAGAGTGGAAGAGAGGGAGGGAGAGAGAGAGAGAAACATCGATGTGAGAGAGACACATCGATTGGTTGCCTCCAGTACATGCCCTGACCTGGGCCGGGGGTCAAACCTGTAACCCAGGTACATGCCCTTGACCAGGAATAGAATGGAGGCCCTTCACTGGGCGTGTTTCTGAGTGTTCATCTGGGCAGTTGGATTCCAACCCTCTTTATGTAACAGGCTTGAAACACCCTCTTCGCTAACTTGAAATGAAATCCACAGGCGATATAACCTACTTACAATTTTTGCCCCAGTTCAATGTATTGTCCTAAGGGTATTATACAGACACAAATGGACAGTCGCACAGTGTGGCAGCTGAGACTGGGCAGATCCCAGTTTTGTGGGGCCTGGGGCTTATATCGTTTTGAGGGAGTTCTCCTTTAAAAAAAAATAACCAGTGGAGGTGACGACAACCTTAGGTAGAGGGAACGGCTACTCAGAATGAGAAAAGACATTACAGCAACACGCTTCATTTTGAAAGCTGGCCAACAGTCCAGACATTCCAGAAAAATAACACACGAGCTGCTGGTTCGCAACTTCAAACCCGAGTCTCCTCTTCCACAGATATTTCCGGTGCCCGGTGCCCTGGAACGCGTGACATCGCGGTCCCCAAGCCTCCGTGTCATCACGCCCAATTCCTGCACCAGGCAGGCCCGTTGTAAGGTACACAGACGTGACTGTGAATTTCATCAGCATCCCACAAATGGGACACGCTGGGGAAGTGTCCCCAACTCAACTTCACCTTAGTCGGGTCCCCCAAATCCTCACCCCTGTCCCACACCACGGCCAGGAGACTGCAGGGAGGTTGCGACAGAAGGAGCCAGCGGGTTAAACGGATGGCTCTTAAAGCATCTCGCTTCGGACGATTTCGCTTCCGTGACCTGGAAAAGGAGCTGGAGTGAGGAGCTTAACACTGTCGCAGCTCCTTGGGGTCGCAGCTCCTGTCCGGGTCGGCAGGTGGGCCCTGTCGCTCCGTGGGGGGGCAGGAGGGGCAGGCGCCTGACTTCTCCAGCCTTGGCTTCCTCACTGGTAACATTGGGGGGGGTGAGTTAGCGTCTTCCTGGAGAGTTGGGGTAAAGAGTAAATGTATGGGAAGCATTTAGCCCCACTTTGCAGGTGGGGTGTGCTCCACGTCCTGCCAGCTGTGTGGCTTCGGGCAAGTCGCTCAACCTCTCTGTGCCTCGCTTTCTGCATCATGCAATGGGAATAATGATCACTGTGGCCTCACGGGATTGTTGTGGGGTTTCGGTAAACTGTTCTCACTGTGCAGATGGAAAAATGAGGCGCAGAGAAGGTTCCCCTAGCGAGTGGGGTGCCCCTGGCCCATCTCCCTGCTCGCCCTCCCTCCTCCCCTGAGACTCCTTGGCTGCTCTCTACCGCCCGCCCGTGTCCCGGTGACCTCAGCTGGGAAGCTGGACGCCCTGCAGGGCCCTGGCCCTGCGCCCTCCCGGTGACCCCTGTCCCCTCCGCCTCTGTCTCACGGGGTCTCCCTCGCCCTCCTGCAGCCAGAAGTTGTCAGGCGAATATTTCCGGTACAAAGGCGTCCCCTTCCCCGTGGGCATCTACTCGCCCGAGAGCATCAGCATCACGGAGAACGCCGAGGTGCAGGACGACGACATCTTCATCGTCACCTACCCCAAGTCAGGTACCTG